GTAACCTAAGAGCCCGCATCCGGCTTTGCTCACTGTGAGCCCTGCTCCATGTCTGTTACCGGAGAATTGGGGCGTAGCCTGCGCCGGTCCCGGGTGTTCTGCCCCCGCCCGCAGGACAAAAGCTGATAAGCAGCCTCCACCAAAATCCAGGGCCCAGGAGACCCCGTGAGCACCGTTGGGCCCTCTTTGCCCACCCTGACTGGGCAGAGAAAAGAGACTTTGTGCCCATGGTGACTTGGAGAAAAGAGGGCTTCGACCCTTTATAGCAAAGGGCGCAATTACTCTGTCTCCTGCCCCGCCCAGTCCAGGCCTCAGAGCAGCATTCACCCTTCCAGGGCCCAGAATGTGTCCCCCCTCCCCCCACACACACTCCTTGCCAAGACCACTATGGTCCAGTGCCTCTTGAGTGTAACTGGATGGTTCTCTGTAAAGCATGGATTCACTCTCCCTGCCCGCCAGGATCCTAGTAATTACCGAGAGGTGGACAGAGCTGGGGGCCAGCCACCTGGGAATGTACTGTCTGCTTTAGGTGTCTGTCCAAGCTTCTGGAGGTGGGGAAGACTGGAAGTACCAAAGTCTTCTCAGTGTTACTGGACAGGAGTGGCCCTTGGAGGGTGGGAATCCTTCTCAAGCATGCCTGTTCTCCAGGATAACCTCTCACTTAAGTAAATGGCTGCAGGTCCCTTTGAAAAAGCTCAGAAAGATTTATGGTGTGCAGGTCCAGCAGTGGTGCAAAGGCCTTCCCAGGGGACCCAACCTCTCATTCCATCAGGGGGCTCTGGGTCTGCAAACTGAGTTATAGGCTGTGACCCTCTACTGTGGCAACTCAAGTCAGGTGTTTGGCTCCCAGACCTAGAGCATTTAGGGTTATATACATAAAGCAGTGCTGTGAAAGGCTGCCTATTTCCTAAAGACACCGTGGTCTTTTCAAAGACACAGATGTCGTCCCCGTCCCCCCCCAATGGCTCTCAATGCCTCACTGAAAAGAGCTGTTTCGGGACTTTCCTGTGGAATATAGTTGGGGGTGGAGGGTTCAGGTGGAATGCGATAAATCTACTCAAAAATTCCTCTCTCCCTGAGCCTTTGGATCTCCTCCTCCACATCATGCCAGGACAACTCTGGCATCAAAATCCATGAACTGCAGGCCACAGGCATGTTCAAATTTCAGTCAGCCAACCAAGTGAGCCGCTGGGCTTCTCACCAGGTGCATGCACTAACACATTCAAACTGGAATTCTGGTAAGTGTACCCCTATCAGTGAATCCAGCCCCAATTGAGTGTTATAGCTTACCTCGTTAGTCTAACATCCTGAAAATCCACTCCCACAACTGTTCAAATAGGGTTCAGCTGGTAGATATCAGTCAAGTCATGGAAATTTTTATTTATCTGTGAGCTATTTCCTCCTGGACTAGACTTTGTGTCTGTACCAAGGAGCATATAGGTATTTGACACTAGTTGTGGGTATAATATCAAGGGAAGGTTGCAGTGGGTCTTGAGGACAAGGGGTGTCCCCTTGCCCAAGTGAGGTAATAAATAACAGTCCTTCAGCAATGGAGCACCAGTCCCCCAGACATGAGAGGATAGGCTATTTACACCAGCAAGAGAGGCTCAGAGGGACTTGGGGCTTCGTGATGGCCAGCTTCAATTGAGGCCAACCAGATGTCCCAATTCCACGTTTCAGGATCCCTCTCCTCCAACCGCTGCTCTACCTTTCACATGAGAAATATGCAGAGGCTGGGAATTCAAATGACATTGGGATTCTGTAAGCCACACAGCTAAACACTGTGTTTGATTTTTAGCACTGTCAGCCCTGCAGATACAGAAGTATGGGAATTTTTAGGGCTGTCATTGAGGTTCTCTGCTTGTCATAGTGCGACTTGAGCAAAGAGAAAAGGAACCGGAGCTTGAATAAAAGGGGTTGGTTACTCAGGGGTCGGACAACTGAAGGTGCAAAAAGGGATACCAAAGTAACGGATAATACAGGAAGAATCTGCCACCCCTAGAGAAAGGGGGAGAAGGGAAGAGGTGTCATCAGAAGCCTAGAAGCCAGGATGAGGGACGTTGAAGACCCAGAGCCCAGATCTCTGAGGAGGGGCTGCTGTAATTTTTCAGGAGAAGCAACATCATCAGCTAAGAGAGGGAACAAGGCAAGAGGTAATTCCCAAGGCACCATCTTCAGGTCACTAGTTCTTTGGTGGCATCTCTTTGTGGCTTAATCCATCTGTTGAGATTTTTATTTCAATGATTATGTGTTTGTACTTCTAAGGTTTTTGTGTGTTTTTTCAAGTCGGCCTAGGTTTTGAAAAGTATTATCTTTTTGATTCCTTCTTTTGTATCTTTATTTCATCGTGTGTCAGAAGCCATTGAAGATTCTGGGAGTTGGAGTAGCCTTATATGACAATACTGCAAACAATTTGTAAATATCCATGAGAACTGCTTTCTGGTCTCATGAGAATTCAAAGGTAATATCAATCTGTGTTTCTTAAGTGCCCCCTTCTTAAAAGGTGATTCTCTTTCTCACGCTCACTTCCTAAAGTGCTGGCCCAAGGCCTGGGGGATACTCACCTGGGCTCACCCCTGACACCTTTGGGACATACTGATGTGCCACACGCATGAGCCGGGAATCTGTGAGGAAGGGAGCAAGCCAGGCTGCAGAGCATAGCCCGCAAAAGGGGGTCAGGCTTGGAGCCCAGTGTCCTTGATCCACACCCTGCCTTGGCCACTTGCTAGCTAGTGATTCAGGACAAACCACTCAACCCTTATTTGTCCTGTTTTCCTCATTTCTACCTCTGGAAACTAGGAATAACACTGCTACCCACCTCCCAAGGCTGCCAAGGGGATGGGATGCATGAGTCCAGGCACATAGCAAACACTCCCAGCCATTACTGAAAAGTACGTTATCTGGCCTCTGACAGTTATGCTCTGGGAACGCTGACAGGGCTACTCCTCTTTTTTATTTTTTAAAACTTATTTAAAAATTTTTATTTATTGATTGATTTTAGAGAGAGAGAGGGAAGGGGAGAGAAACATCAATTTGTTGCTCCACCCTTTCCATGCATTCACTGGTTGACTCCCACACATGCCCTAACCAGGGATTGAACCTGCGCCCCTGGTGCACTGGGGCAATGCTCCAACTAGCTGAAGTACCCGGCCAGGCCAGGGTCAGTCCTGTCCTTGACGAACCTGCTAATTTTCCATGAAGGTGGGCAGTGTCTTCAATTTTAGATTGCCGACCCATCTTCAGCGGGGCCTCTGGGAGTTCTGGGTGGGAATCCTGTGTGAAGTGTCTGCTTCAGAGAGGGCGGGTTTGCTCTGCCAGAAGCCCAGCACTACTACCAGGACGGGGGTAGTTCCTCTCAACCAGGGGTTCACCAAAGCCCCTCTGTAGCCAGTAAAGGCAGGCCGTGCTCATTGATGCTGTGGGTGGTGGAGTTCTTGGCCCTGCTCACTCAGAGCCAGGCTGGGATGGACTTTTTTCTTTTCTTTTCTTTTCTTTTCTTTTCTTTTCTTTTCTTTTCTTTTTTTTAAATATATCTTTATTGACTTCAGAGAGGGGAAGGGACNTTTCTTTTCTTTTCTTTTCTTTTCTTTTCTTTTTTCTTTTCTTTCTTTTCAATATATCTTTATTGACTTCAGAGAGGGGAAGGGACAGGAAGGGAGAGAGATAGAAACGTCAGTGATGAGAGAGTCATTGATTGGCTGT